GCACCCACCCACACCCACCCACACCCACACCCTCACCCCACACCAACATCCACCAGGACCCACACCCAGCCACCCACAATTACAAGCTATTGTTGTTGGTTTTCTTGCTATGGAATGGGTACCTCAAGGATATTTTAATCGACGACATGCACTTGTTTTATGTAGTAGTAGTGTTTCAACAGCATCAATTACTTCATTAGCATTAGGTTTGTAACGAATATTTTGAAATATCTCATATTTTGTTGCACATAAGACCGTATAAACAATCTATTTTAAAAATTAATAGAGATAGTATTGTCAATTCACTTTATTCAATATTTAACAACTGTTTCTTAGTTATCTTGATGAGTTCTCTTCCTCTCGCACACAATTAATTGTTTATTTCTTTAGGTGGAACCATGATGTTTTTTATTGTCATTTCACATAAATGCAAAATCAATCGTGATAATATTGCTATTGCTACACCAATAGCTACTTCACTCGATGACTTAACAATACTTGGTATTTTAGTATCGGTGGATTTTCATATTCATATGAATACAATTTATAATTTATTTGAACTATCAAACAAGATATTCTTGATGATTTTATTTTATATTAAATATAAATTTTGTCTATGTTTTCTTATATTGAAAATAAAAATACAATCATGTAAAATTTTATAAAGAATTGGAAAATAATACTGATGATTGTCTTATATTGTATATATATCTATATATTATTTCATAATATAATATATGTTTTTATTCTTTTATTTAATATATGTATATATATATATATATATCTATATGTGTATGTTATTTGTGTTCACATAAATTTTAATCTTTACATGTTATATATAAGAATTTGATAAAGTTAAATGTAATTGAAATAGATGTTTATATCAAGTTACATATATTTTAAACAAAACACCGATGTAAACTCTTTGAATGTATAGTTTTGTTTTTCTTAAACAAAAAAAAGAATTCTATATATTATAGTAATTCTCGTTTGTTTCTCATGTGTTTTGCTTAGAATTTCTTCATATTATTCAAGTTAAAATAAATGATGATAATATAAAGAATTAGTAGAAGAAAAATATAAAATAACTTTATATAAAAATATTCTTTCATTTTGTATTGCTGCAGTCTCTTCTATTTATATAGATATAGTACATATATGTATATGTATATTGGTATTTATAATAAGATATATTACCATTTAAAAATTCGTTTTGCCTTTGCCTTTACTTTCGTATATAAACAAACTGAAATCTAATATAAAATGCAAATATCGTTTATAGAACTGAAGTCTATGGAATCAGCATGTGTTTTATCATTATTATCATTATTATTATTTAGAATTATTGGTAACAATATTTGTAAATTCAAAATCTATATAATAAATCATACATTACTTAGATAATTATACGTGGTTACCTATAATGATTACAACTATTTTTTTAATTTTAACACCAATTTGGATTATTATCTCTTTTGGAAATGAATACGTTAAAGATGTGCTTATACATGGATAGTATGTTAAACGATTTGTAAAAAAATTTACTCTAATATAAAAAATAACATAATATTTAAAGGTCATTCATTGTCGCTGCAATGCTTATTTCAAGGTAAATAATAACAATACATAGAATTCGATTTCGTCTTTTTTTTTAGTTGTTTTTTTGTTATCACTTGATGGATCAGTAATTAGATTTTGTTACCTCTGTTAACATTCTATGATTGCTTATCATAAATATTAAATGCAGCAGTATTATTTTTAAAAATTTCTAATAAATATTACAAAATTGTTTTATTCAATATTTGATTGAATAAACTAAAAAGATTTTTTTTCACTCATGAAATATCTGAATATATTATAACCGTTACATTAGTATTCTTTGTTTGATAATTTCGTATTTTATATTGAAAATATATATTTATTGATGAAAATAACAGTTTATGATATAATGATGATGAATTTTAGTCATTCACTATTGAAATTGTATATAAAAAGAATAATTATATAATAATGATTTTGTCGATGTCACTTTATTTCTTCTTCATAATTTTTTATTGACTCTATATTAATCATTGTTATATCAATTCATAATGGATGAGTATCTGCTGGTTGATTATCAAGATTACTTAAATCAATAGATTCAAATGGATCATATTCAAGATGATATAAATGTACTTCAACAATTGTAATATCATAAGTAAATTTGTTGAGTATCGTTTAACAAATTTGAATATTGTTTAATACTTATAAATGAATTGCCAAAATTTGCTAAATTAAATATATATTGAATAGATTCTTATTGATTTGGTCTTCGAAGAATTGATGTCCGTTCAGATATAGATAAAGTTGTTTTTAATTGTCGATTTTCTACAGATGATAATAATCGATTAGATGATTTTTTATTTAATTTCTTTTTTTTCCATGATGATGATGATGATACTGATGATGATGATAATAATAATAATAATAATAATATATCCATAGTAGAATATCAACCATGAAGTTGTTTAGCTTGAAGATATTGATTATGAAGCAGTAATGGAACTGAAAATGCTGATTCTAAAGGAGAACTTGATAATAAACCAACTGTTTGACTATCATGATCATTAAATACATCAGCATAATCACTCACAGTAATAAAAAGTGTTTCATCATATAATTTTCGTGATTTAAAACCACGAATAATTTTTCCAAATAATTCATCAGTTGTTCTTAATGTATTTAGATAAGCATTTATACATTAATGTATTTAGATAAGC